AAACCACAGTGATCTAAATTTATTCCTAGCATGAAACCCTATATTCCCTCTCCAGAACCCCTGTGGCTGCGCTCAGCGCCCTGGTGCCAGTGAAACATGCAGGTATGGGTTTCCCTTTGGTTTTAAACCCCACACGGGCCACATACACTCCCCAGGCGTACGCATGTGTGTCTAAAGATCTCATTGGGAAGCAGGTGGAGTGAAATAAAAAGCTGGTCGGACAGTGTCTGAAGGAGCTGAGGAATAGGTAACTAGATCCATGTGAACCCAACGATCATCCAGACTCAGTATCCACTCAGCCCTTTGCACTGCTAGAAAAACATTTAGCCAGGACAGACAAGCGAGGACGGATTATTAGAGAGCCTCTGGAGCACCAGTGTTATTCAACACAGGCTCATTGGAAAAACATGCCTCTACCTACCTTTTGGCAAAACTGCAAACACGTACCTATACATGCAATTCACAGCAGTTTCCAGCTAATAAAAAAAACTGTCACTAACACAACACGAAACCACTTGATAAACATCTTGAACTGATTGCGGGGCATATCGATTAATAAAGACTTATTTTCTTGCAGTTCCTTGCAAAATACTATAATTTGACTATAATATCCAAATATTATAATTCAAAACACTTGTACCATAGTGCATCATTTGTAAACTAGTAACTTTTGAAGGTTTGCATCACATATTCATCTCCATATGTTTGGCTTTTCTGATGTATTGGAAGAAGCAGTGTACTGGAAGAAGCAGCGACAATGCCACGGTTGCTTCAGAAAATGTGTTTTTATCTCACATTTGCTTTTGGTAACAGTTGGGTTTATGGTAGGTTTATGCATGTGGTATGTTATTTTAGAGCATTAATCTGAGCACCACGAAATGCGCAAGAAGCAACGTAATATAATATTGCATAAATTTTGCCACAGGCACGTTTTTGTTGTGTGATGTAACCATGTTTATGTCTGGTTTAAATGGATCTGAGTTTAAGGAAATAATAAATGCTGGGCTCAAGTCATTCTCAGTGAATTCTCCGCTATGCATTTAAAAGGAATAGTTTAGAATAGAAAATAGTGAGAAAATGCTGTCATCTTGTTTTCTCACCTTCATGTCATTCCAAATCTGTATGACTTTTTCTCTTTTGTGAAGCAAAAAGAATATATTTTAGAAAAAAAGCTTTCTTTTCTTTGAAGTCTAGTGTTGATGTTTTTAAAAGTTAGTGTTGTCACAAAAGAAAGTCATACAGGTTTGTAAATGGCATGAGGGTAAGTAAAGGATGATAGAATTCATATTTTTGAGTCAGTGAATTATTCATATATATATTTTTTTTCCAACTGGGGGTTATCCAAAGATTATTTAAAGTGATCCAAGTGTATGTGTGACTTTCCCAGACGCCTCCATTTGTGAGATACAAAATGGCCTATACTATTTTTTATTTATTTATAATAAGATAAGTTTAATTATTAGCACCCCTGGTAAATATGGTAAAAAAAATGGCAGTAAAAAATAAATCTTCATTGTTTATCCTTTTGATCTTTCATTCAAAGAATTTGCAAAAAATCTAACCTTTCATTGAAGTAAAAGAATTGAAAGTGAGGGGGAAATCACATTATGAAATAAATGTTTTTCTCCAAAACACGTTGGCCACAGTTATTGGCACCCCTAACAAATGTTACGAGTAAAATATCTCTGAAGTATATTCACATTAATATTTACTTTTTTTAGCACACCAGGACGACTAGGAACATGACATTGTCTAGTTATAACTTCTTGTTTCACAGGAGTTTAAATATGAGGAAACACAATGGCCAAATTCCCTTAATCATCCATCACAATGAGTGAAACCAAAGAATATACACTTACCTAAAGGATTATTAGGAACACCTGTTCAATTTCTCATGAATGCAATTATCTAATCAACCAATCACATGGCAGTTGCTTCAATGCATTTAGGGGTGTGGTCCTGGTCAAGACAATCTCCTGAACTCCAAACTGAATGTCAGAATGGGAAAGAAAGGTGACTTAAGCATAAAATGCCTTGTTGATGCTAGAGGTCAGAGGAGAATGGGCCGACTGATTCAAGCTGATAGAAGAGCAACTTTGACTGAAATAACCACTCGTTACAACCGAGGTATGCAGCAAAGCATTTGTGAAGCCACAACACGCACAACCTTGAGGCGGATGGGCTACAACAGCAGAAGACCCCACCGGGTACCACTCATCTCCACTACAAATAGGAAAAAGAGGCTACAATTTGCAAGAGCTCACCAAAATTGGACAGTTGAAGACTGGAAAAATGTTGCCTGGTCTGATGAGTCTCGATTTCTGTTGAGACATTCAGATGGTAGAGTGAGAATTTGGCGTAAACAGAATGAGAACATGGATCCATCATGCCTTGTTACCACTGTGCAGGCTGGTGGTGGTGGTGTCATGGTGTGGGGGATGTTTTCTTGGCACACTTTAGGCCCCTTAGTGCCAATTGGGCATCGTTTAAATGCCACGGCCTACCTGAGCATTGTTTCTGACCATGTCCATCCCTTTATGGCCACCATGTACCCATCCTCTGATGGCTACTTCCAGCAGGATAATGCACCATGTCACAAAGCTCGAATCATTTCAAATTGGTTTCTTGAACATGACAATGAGTTCACTGTACTAAAATGGCCCCCACAGTCACCAAATCTCAACCCAATAGAGCATCTTTGGGATGTGGTGGAACGGGAGCTTCGTGCCCTGGATGTGCATCCCACAAATCTCCATCAACTGCAAGATGCTATCCTATCAATATGGGCCAACATTTCTAAAGAATGCTTTCAGCACCTTGTTGAATCAATGCCACGTAGAATTAAGGCAGTTCTGAAAGCGAAAGGGGGTCAAACACAGTATTAGTATGGTGTTCCTAATAATCCTTTAGGTGAGTGTAGTTCTGATGTGCATCAAAAGATTGTTGAGCTTCACAAAACAGAAAGTGGCTGTAAGAAAATAGCTAAAACATTGAAAATCCCCATTTTGACCATCAGGGCAATTATCAAGAAGTTCCAGTCAACTAAAGATGTTACGAATCTGCCAGGAAGGGGACGTGTGTCTAAATTGTCTTAATGCGCGGTGAGGAAGAGTTTGAGTGGCCAAAGACTCTTCAAGGATCACAGATGGAGAACTGCAGAGATTGCTTGAGTCTTGGGGTCAGAAGAATGAGGGCTTTCAAGAAAAATCCTCCTCGCTCCTCCAAAAACAAACTCCAGCATATTCAGACATAAATGTCAGACACGACTGGATCTTCAAACGGCACAGGGATCTGTGGTCAGATGAAACTTTAGATTAATGGTAATAATAACCCTGTAATAATAATAATAATAGCTATTCCTTTAACACCAATGTACCACAATGTAATGTTTATGCTGCTATAAAATGTTCAGCAGGCACGACTGATATTGTTGAGCACGGGCCAGGAACTGATATGATTTCCCATTTCTTATTTCACGTCGTGGCAATAGTCACTGGCACACATTCAAGCGACGTGGGTCGGCCTGTATCAGCTTTGCATTGCAGTGGCTTGTTTCCAGGTTTGAGCCTCTCAGCTGAAAGCCCCTGACAGTCACAGGCCTCGGGGTCCCGTTGGCCCCACTGACCCGCTCTATAACTCATCTTCAGAGACGTGCACAGATCAGATTTCCCCCCATCTTCCACTGCAGGCCAACGGGCACAAGTGACATTTCCTCTGGAAGGACTGTGGGCATTGCCCTTTGCCCCCAACACGTGCGTAAGACACAAACTCTTGCGCCCAACAACTGAGACACAGATTTGTCACATTCTCTAACCAGACAAGAATTTCACAGCTGAATACTCGTGCGACGGGTCGGGCCACAAAGGAACCATCAAAGGCCTCGGACACTGAGTTTTGTGTAATCTACTCGCCAGGATCCTGTTGCATGTTTCACAGTTGGCAGAAACTGACTGAGGAAATGAACAGCCTATATGGACCATTCTTCATTTGCATTTGGCAAATTAACTTGCTCCGACATTATCTTTTGTAATTGCTCATGTTGGATGTGTGCTTTGGTCTTAACTTATCATTGGTCATATATTTTGCCAGTGTCATATAACTAGTTTCATACATACTAAATGGATATTTTAAAGTATTATATATATAGTGTAAGTATAATTACACTATAAAATACTGTAAATACAACAAATCTCAACTGCTTAATTGATTTTATCATTGCATATAACTTAAACTGTTATCACCCAGCTAAATACTGTACATAAATTTGGATATATAAGTACAACATCTAACTTTATCCACATATACACACAGTACACTGACGTAAAGCAATATAAATTATAGACTAAATCTCAACTGCAAAATGTAAAGTATTATCATATAGTTCTAGTCTGCTAAATGCAATGCAAATATATAGGCTATTAAGATATTTTAAACATTAACATCAGGATTTTCTGTAAAGCTGATTTGAAACATTGTGTATTGTGAAACACTTAAAAAAAACTTGATTTAACTTGGCAAACAAGCAGATTGTGCTACATTTGTCGATATCTTAATATCTAGTGAGCATACATGCTGAAATCAAAAGGAAACTTTTATTACACATTCACTCAAATTTAATAAAGAAATGTAAACAAATTGTTTACTATGCATTGACAAAAATCTAAAAATGGTTAAAATGTCAGTGACTTGTTTATGCTTTTGCAGTGCGTATAGGATGTGTAGAAAGGTTATTCAGAATTTATAAATGATTTAGCCTATAGTATTGTTGATGTTGATTTAATTGGGAACTTGGATGTTATTTAATGACATTAATTCTCACAGCCAATTATAAAATAATACTTATTTTCTTAGTGAGAAAATATAAATAAACAGCTGTCACTATTTGTATTACTGTAAAAATAACTGTAAATGTGCCGCAAACCAGCGATCAAGAATAGACAGTGAAATGTCATTTTTACAGTGTATGTAATGTATTTTGGTGGTGGGATAAATAGATTTACCTTGAGCTTCACAGTCGTGTTTAAACAGCACACCGCACGCAGAGAGGAGGAGAACTACAGCGAGCTTCATGGTGCAGGGCAATCTGAAACAATGACAATCAACACATTAACATCAATGAAAAATAAGCATGCATTGATCCAACGGCAAGCGTTGCTGTTCATATATTGTGAATATATGTTGAACTTGATTTCACCAAGTACCACATGTTCCTGGATATACATCTTTGTTGATCCTGGATCAACTTTCCAATCAACCAATCAGATTTGAGGGAAAAGTTTACAGTTTATGTCAAGTTTAGGCTTAGAACCAGGGTGAAGTACTTAAACATCAGTGTTTTTCACCTATAATTATCCTCTGATTTTAGGGAAAGGTTATGGGTAGGGTTAGGTTTAGGGGTAGGGATTGGGTAAGGACTACAGTTTGGGACAGGAATGTTGATCCAGGATCAAAAAAATATGTTGATCCAGGACCATGTCTTACTTGGCAAAATCACGGTGACTGTGAATACATACCTACTAAATATAAGTAGAAAGAGATGAAGCACTAAAACAAGGGATGCTTGTGTGTTGGCCAACTATAACAGCCATAACCTCAAACATGAGGCCCAACAGAAGAGCTCAGAGCGCTTTCCCTCTCCAAACACCAAACTGAGCAACACACACGCTTAATAATTCATCTTAATGCTCAATTATTAAATCCGCTTTGTGAATCTTTTATGGCGGACACTGCTTTGTCTATTTACACAGTTCACAACTTTGCTGCTATGTTGTGTCTGTTTGTTGCTCTTGTGTCTATGTGGGCCTTAAGCAGTGCTGTTTAATATTAACAAGCAATGGATAAATGTTCGGTGGTTTCATTGCATAATATTACTGAATATTAAAGGGTTATCTAAACACCCATAATGCACTGGGCATGTTGTCATCCAAGGCCACTCCCACCAGGCTGCTATGGATACGCTTGACCAAATACTTTAGTAGGAAATACTTCTGAGCAAACTTTTAGTCATAATGGTGTCGACTTGTATTGTTCCCGGGACCAAGAATTCAAAGATTAAACGTTTAGTGGTAGTCAGTGTGTTGTCGGCAGCGGCTAAAGACTGCAATCCCTTAGTAACAATGGTTTTTGGGTGGACTGATTACCATTTGTATAACCACAGTTTTACTACAAATACCATGGTTGAACTTTAGCAAAACCACACTGGAAAAAAAAACAATACGTAAAATGTACATATTTTTTCTTTTGCACTCATATTTTTTAAGTAAATTTCACATGTATGGAATTAAGTCAAATCTACTTAACTAAGTTGTGTTAAATTAACAAACAAAGAGAATAAGTAAATTTAGCTTGGCCAGTTAGAGTTTGTTGAGAAATTTCCAGTCACTCATTTGAAATTTACTTTGCAATAGTCAGTTTCAAGTACTTTTTACTCACTCTTTGTTGTTTGTATACCGCAATACCTGGTACACAACACACAATAATGGTAACAATCAGTGGACAGTTTTTGAGCTGGTCATTTTGAGTAGAAAATTACGGTTAGAAAAAAAACGCAAGTTACTAAACCTAACATCAAAAGCAATGATAAAACAGTGCAAATACAAATGGAAAACGGTGAATCATGCAACCGTATTAGTTATTCACGGCCCAGTGCATGATGGGAACACCATCAGAAAGTTGATTTTATAACTTTATAACTTTATAATATATAAACTATTAATAGTGAGAATTGGAGACTGAACTAGTGTTACCCCTACTCTTACAATAACTGTTCTGTTAATAACCCAATGTCGATCCGACTGTCCGTGGGCGGAGATACAAAAAATGCGGATGTATATTATGTAGCTTTGACGAAAGCCCGGGAGCTGTCAAAAGTCTGCGGCGAGTGACGCGTTTTGAATTTCTCGGTCCAGATAACACGGAGAACGAGCAAACATTGTTAATTTACAAATCCTACCAACATTGTAACCGTAGAAAGTGAGTTGTAAATCAGCGAAGTTACACTTTAAAGGGGAACTTGGCAACTCTAGTCATTTCTTCGCTGATTTTCACTTTTGTTGTGGCAAGTTGTCTCATCGAGCTCCTCCTACAGCTGTGCGGCGTATATTTCACAACACTGTCATAAAAAACTCACTTGTGGCACCCTCCTCCCGCTTTCTACCGCTGCTCATGTGCTTTTGTTATTATCGGAGCCGGCCAACTCTATCGTGTGGAGCTATGTCTACTGAGTGGGTAATACATCATACACAGTATCATAGAATTATGTCGAATTGCCATAAAGCAGTTCGTGTTTCTCTCTCATTCTCGCTCGTTCTCGCTTCTCACGAGACGGGACGTTAGTCCTCATGTTGCAAGGTTGGTTTCCCGCCTGGGAACGCTGGGGGGAGTGGGGAAAGTCACCATTCTCTCCAGAACAGGTTATTAAACCATTCAAATGATTTCTAAACGGTTTTATTAAGTTGAAATAGTTGCCAAGTGCCCCTTTAAAGGGTTAGTTCACCCAAA